AAATAAACGAAAAAACTTTAACTACATCTTTATAATAGCATTTAAGAATAGATGCATACATTGTGACCGAAAAGCTTCCGGAAATTTTAAATAAAACGCAAAATTCTTAATCTTCATCAATATTTATTTTATCTCCTTCAAAATATGCTCCATTAGAAGCGATACACAAATGCCAACGTTTCTTCCAATCATCAAAACATTTTTTATAGGCGCTTTACGGTATGGCTTTGAGTTCCCTCTGCGAATTCTGTTTTACGTCTTCTATGGATTCAAAACGCGTTCCTCTGAGTGGTAATTTGAGGTTGGGAAACAGGAAAAAGTCACACGGTGCAAGATCAGGTGAATACGGTGGCTGTTCGATGGTATTTATTGAATGTTTGGCCTTAAAATCGTTGATAATGTTGAACAAATTGAGGTGAATCGGAACAAGCCGGGCGTTGACACGTCGCATACACAAATTGTCCACCAAAATCAAACGAGCCATCTCACGACCGATGCCTAGCTCTCGTGCTATCTCTCTAACACTCACATGAGGATTTTTGAACACGATTTCCTTTGCCTTTTCAATGTTTTCGTCGGTGGTAGAGGTCGAAGGTCGTCCAGAACGCGGCATGTCTTCGACGGTCGTACGACAGTCCTGAAAGGCTTTGTACCACTCATAAACTTGAGTTTTCGATAAAACTGATTCCCCATAAGCCTTTTGTAGCATTCGCAACGATTCTGCACACGAAATTTCGTTCGAAAAACAAAATTTGATGCAAACTCTTTGTTCAATATTTTTTTCCATTGTTTTTTTCGCAACGCACTACTGAGGTGAACTGGTTTCAACAGCTGCCGTAAACGAACTGTCCGACAGATCGCGCTCATTTTTGGCATAGTAATTAAGGACAGTGCTGCCAAACTACATAAACTTAAAATATCGAAAAATATACAGCGCGCGAATTTTAAATGAGAACCTCCGAAAACTTTTCGGTCACAATGTACATACCGAAACATCCCAAAAAGAGAAATAGTCTCTCTTACTAATATATGTTAGTATAAGTTATATGTATGTATTATAGGTTTTAAGATATGTTTAAGTTGTGATTTCAGCAATACTCTAGTTAACTGGATTAAGCGATTAATACCTTTAATATGGTTAAGTGTGATGTCGGATAGGATTTTAAGAAACTGGATAGTTATAACATAGAGATTAGACGAGATTAGACAATTGCCTTATCCCTCTTTGATAAAACTTATTGTTAGGAATCCTAATTACTTAGGAAAATTTAGAATTAACTTAAGATGAATAAAGAATTTGGATATATTAAATAATCTGTTGGAGCACTTTTTTCAGTACATTTGAAGAATGTTCAGAATTTAAAGCTAACCTTTGAGGGTAAGGTTGAGTGGACTAGTGTCAATATATTAGATGAAGTTATAGTCTATTTACTAAAGCCGAATTAACTACAAATAAGGATCCATTGTAACTCAACAGAGAAGCCACTGTCCGTCCACCGGACTTGAAAAGCCTATTTTAAGGTAGAAGTCTGAAGTATCAGGCGACGAAAAGGGTCTCTTTACGAAGCAAGAAATGAGTTAGACAAGTTTTTATATTTGGCTATGCGGCTAATTTTAAGAGGTACCAGCTCTGTCAAGTCTATGACCCCAAAAGTTTTAATTTTTTCTTCGCCAATGATGTGGTTTAACATATGATAAAACTCTGATGCACCGAAATCCTCGATAAAAGTTGTTAAACAAAGTTTACTCCTAATATGCAACAGGTAGGTAGGCCTCTCATTACCTACCTCATAGTACTGAGTAGGTTCCGGTTAAGTTAAAGCACCTGACTGGTACAAATTTTTTCTAATTTGGGCCAGATGAATCTTGTGATCTGACAAGAAACTGCATTTATTCATTGCTTTTTATATTTATATTTCGTAAATGTAAGAGGGAACCAATATCCGAGAACTTAATATTGGAAAGTAGTGCGCCTGTTTCGCCAGTTTGTTTGCATTACTTTTACCTTAGTGTCCAGGAGCTTGTATCAGTTGGATTTTGGCAAGCCTACTTAACTCATCAAGAGAAGCTTGACATTCTTTAATTACAAGAGAAGCAGCTGTATCAGAGGTTCAATTGTAGCTTAACTGTCAGATTGAATTGTAGATTAAACGTCAGAGATAATTGCCATATTCCGAAAAAAAATGTATTTCCATTACTGTATATGTTAATGCAAGTATCGATGTATTCACTCGAAGATATTTATAAGCTCTAGATGTATAATTATAATTGAATCTTGTTAACAATTAAGGATTTGAAATCTTTTGGAACGTTGAATTTATCAGTTGGGTGAACTTATCAAAACTGGAGCACGTGCAAAAATATGTTTCACCTTGTTAGTGCATCCATGTTGAAAACGTATGCAAGAATGTGGAACATTTGCAGCATTCGAATAACGTATGCAGAAATTAGTTCCATGAATACAGTGTGCCTTGGAAAGGGCATAAAAAAATTTTCATTTTTACAGAAAAAAAAAACAAAGAAAAGAATTGGTGGGCATTTGTTTAACTTCAACCTTATTTCGAACAAAAACGTTAACGAGTTTTCACTGCCACATATGATTTCATCATCGCACTGATTTCGAAGAACATAGGGCAAGGGCAGTAGTGATTTAGAACGTACGTCGAAACGACGGCGCGACTAATTTTTTAATATATATCTCAAACCATTGTTCGCGTTCCCACAGAAATCCTGCTAAACAGCACTCTACTTAACAATTGTGGCTGATATTGTTTTCGAATATCAATGCTTCCTAATTTGTTTCTGATGTCACAGTTACTACTCAAAACCCTTGTTGACTTTATTAACCAAAATTCCGCTCCTTTCGTATGGTTCAATTGAATACAGCTTCCCATGAGAATGGCGAACAATTTTGCCGTGACAAATTGTTACTTAGCGTGACAAATTCCTTGGCACAATTCAAATTTTGTACTTAGCGGGGTTATTTTTTTGTTTTTGCATTGAATGATAATGTGTTCTGTTCGCAGGATATCGTCTGCTCCCCAGTATTGGCCTAAATGCTAACGACATAAGACTTTTTACTGTGCACTCATTCAGTGATATGCTTCTCTACAAATGAGGCTTGACGAATTGTGCTGATTAAGCGTATCCTAATAATGTTTGAGATACTATTCTCACAGAACAGAATCTGACGAATCAATTGATGTTTAGCTTTGACTTTTTAGTATCTTGTTCTCATGATGGGATTATCATTATTTGATACTTGACAATTCAAAACGCAACATATTTGTCATTATGACAGTTTTTATTCACAGTTCATTATATGTTGAAATATGTTTTATGACTACTGTTAAGCATTACAATCGATTATTTAAATAAACGAAGTGAAATAAGTTTGCTTTCAAGAAAATAAAAGTCTTGAATATCTATTATTAGAAAGCAAATAGAACAAATTGTAAAGAAAAATGAATTATAAAGAATTATTATGAAGTCATGGAAAAAGGTTACGCCGTACGAAGAACACAGAACGAATAGAATAAATCCTAAAACATTATTTATTAATGCAATTACATCTTAACTTAATACTAAATTCAATTTATATGTTTCGAATTATATATTCACTCCATTCACATAAGCAGGAAGTTTATTTAACCAAAATAAGTTAAATATTTTGTATACATTAGAATAAATAAAAGTTAAAACGTCAGCTAACAGCACCAAACATAATTATAAAAAGTAAGAAAATAAAAAATTTTGTGTGCGACGCCTCTACAAGACATAGTTGGTTATTGTTGCTATCCTCAATCACCTTAATAGGAATGAAATCTTTCGATTCTTGAGCTATAATATAAAGAAGGAAGGAGTTAACTTCATCTTTGCTTTCTCCTAACAACAGCTTATGCAAAAATTAATCTAAAAAAGTATCTATTCATAAGTTGATATCCTGTGCAGACTTCCACAATGTTATTATAGATAACTTTTCTTAAAAGTTTTGGTGGTTGGTTAAAGTACTTGTCAATAAAAAGAGATTTCTATACTAGGATTAAAGCAATCATATGTTTCAATCCTATTATTATTAAAAAGTTACACTCACATTCTTCTATTATCTTTCATTATGAGTTTTACCAACATTTACTGGTATTGATTTATTCTATCACAGACATTTATGTATGATAGTTTGTAAAATAATAATGAACTGTCATCTTTTGTATCACGAGCTGATCCGTAACAGATGAGAAGACAATCTATTTATTTAGCGAAAATCAAAACACTCACATTCTTCTATTACCTTTCATTATGAGTTTTGGCAATATTTACTGTTATTGATTTATTATATCAAACATTTATGTATTCAAACTATCGAAAACTAATAATCAGCTGAGGATAATGACGCAGTGGCTGTCATCTTTTGTATCGCGAGCTGATCCGTAACAGATCAGAAGACAATCTATTTGCTTAGCGAAAGTCAGATTGCGTTTCGTTAAGGAGTTTCGTTATAATAGGTGCAGTCAAAAGTTCACTCCTCAGCATATTCCTTCTGGCCCAAACCAAAGCCGCACACTTTTACAATATGTATTATTCCCTTTGAATTATACGTTCTAAGCGATAATTAGAGTACAGGACTGGAATCCGTTGATCCGTTGACATCCGTAGTTATATAAATCTGTTTAAGTTCTTAATTCAACAATTTATATTTCATAAATATCAAAATAATAGAATTTAAATTTTACAATAACATTTAAATAGTATTTTATTTTTAACTTTAATACGATTACATTATTTATTGGTATACTATATCTTTGATGATTTACATTAAGAGCGAAAATTTTCTTACTAAGGACTAACTACGTTTACATTTTTAAAATATTTTTAGCTTCTAATAAAATCACGGAAAATTGGAAACATAAAATTGCACTATAATAAAATTATATGATATAATTAATAAAGTAAAAAAATAATATTTTAAATAATTATCACAAGTAATGTCTTAAGATGGACTTTGCCCCTACTTTGTCCAAAACAACTAGAATAATATGCACCGATTTCAGATATCTTTTTAATAATATCCGAAGAAATGCTTCGATCATTTGGATGCGCTCGATATGCGTGACATGTGATGGCGGCCATTATTGGAGTTCATATTCAAAAGTTCATTGTTGTTATTGTGAGTACCGTTCGCTATAGGATTTTGATCGCTTTCTTTGTCTTGATGGGCTGTCATGTGTCGCGTGAGATGATGACGTTCGCGAAAACTTTCTTGACAAACAGGACACTTGAGTTTTTCCTCGCGTTTGCGTCTATTCGGATCAGTCGCTACCTCACTTTTGTGATGCGAGCGCATGTGGTAGACGAGATCGCTGGTCATGCGGAAGCTGATGTTGCATTTGGCGCAGACATTTTGTGCAGTTAGTGTGAATGTGGATGCCAATGTTGGTGGTATCAATGTGGATAATATAGCAGCAGCAGCAGGGTTTTGTACGATGCGAGGCAGCTCTGGTGGTGCAACAGCAGCGAATGGATGAGTTGCAGCGGTGGGTGGAAATGGAAAGGCAGCGTAACCGGGCAAAAAATCTGGTGGCGATGGTGCATTTACTGGACCACCCGACATTGAAATGGTGTTGGAATTAGGTGCACTGGTTACATTCATTGGTGGGCGGTACAAAAATTGCTGCTTCAGGCGTTGTGCTTGCAGAGCTTGTACTTGGTTCACTGACTGAAACGGTCCATTGAATTGGTAATCTGCCCGAAAATTTTGATAGACAATATTCGGATTGAGACATGGTGATATAGAGTTAGCGCTGCCATTAGAAAGTCTTCCGTTGTCACTATTAGTTCGCGGTGGAGTTGTTGACATTGGCGGACTCATTGATGGACAACTTAATTGATCGGGACTTAATGGTGGTGCAGGTTGTATTGGTGACTCCAAGCGTGTAGATGCAACTTTAGTAAAGGCGCTTTTCATTGGTAGAGCTTCGGGCTCAGGAGTTGTGCTATTTACGGTTGGTATAACAACGGTGGGATCGTCATAGATGCGTGGGGAGCGTAAAGTTATCTGTGCATAACGACGTGCTTCTTGAAAATTGACTATCTCATTTTGTTCATGTAAGTGATGTAGTTGTTGTTGCTGCTGTAATAGCTGTTGACTACGCGGAGACAAGTCTGTTGGATACTGATGGCGTTCAAGAATGATTTCTGAAAGACGTGCCTGTTTCTCAGCTTGCTTTTGTTTGATGCGTTCATCAGGCATCATCAGAAAGGCTACATCAAAAGAACGTTTTAGAGTTGTTTTGCCGACGGGTGATGTGTGCGGTGATATTGCTGTATCATTGTTGTTATTATGTGCAGGGCTAAGCGGTGTGGGTGGTGTTGTTGATACATGTAAGTTAGCACGCGTTGGTGAGTTTTGCACAAGTGGAATAGTGTGCTGATGTTGATGATGGGAATTATCCATGATCATGTTCATTTAATTTAATGTAACTTTATTGAGAATATTGAAACAATTCCGATGTTTAATTTTTCTTTTAAAAATTTAGTTAATAAGCTTCACTATAACACTATTTCATATACTAATATGTATTGAGTTATTAATATTGGTCTTTCAATTTCAGATTCATTTTGTTTTTACATAAGTCAATTGGAATTAATTACACCTGATTTTAATATTTTCAAATACGCCGTGATTTAGTTCCGTCACTTTTAAGTTCTAACCAAAGACTGCTGCTCTGCAGCAATCTGTTCCTCTTTAAGTACTGCCACAGCATCTCGGCAAGGACACCACCAACTTCAATTTATTTCTAGTTGGATTTCGTTTCATATTGTTGCATTCAAAACTCGAAATACTCGCACATCTGTGCAAATTCTATTTGGAATTGAGGCATTGAAAATCTAAAGAAGAAAGTCCATATAACCACAGCACCCAGCAGCCAGCAGCAGTCACCAACCCTTATGTTCAGTGTATGAGCTAGCAGCCCTATTATGTGTAACAACACCGAAATGCATCCTGATGGCTGCTCTCGCACACTTTTTTTGTTGGAAGCTACGCATCTGTTTTCGAAGTTAACAACATATTCTATGGAAAGAAATATTTTTTCCCTGCTATACTTATAGGACGGGAGAGTGAGATCATTGCATGGCACTGGTTGGCTAGAACTTTCGAAAGTTTACATACGTATAGTTTTTTCCTTTTAAAGCAGTTACAGTGGAGATAAACTATTTCCATCTTCTTACTTTTTTATCATTGTTTTAATATAAAATATATTAAATTAGTTTAAATAAATATAGATATTCTTAATTATATGAAGTCATTGAAAATTATGAAGAAATAAAAATAAATAGTGTAATCTAACATAATATAAATAATAACTTGAATTTATATAAATTTTTGCAATAACTAATTTTTTTTTGTTTGAAATATAATTATTTTTATTAAAGCCTTTCAAAAAATATCGGAATCGGACAACTATGTGACGTATATTGCTACCATAAGAGAAAACAACACTCATCCGAGATTAATATGAGCTTGGCTTGGCTTCTTCATATCAACTGGCTCTAGCTCTGACGAGTCCTGATAAGTTAAAGTCTTCTAGTTAGTTAGTTAGTTAGTTGTGGTGGAGAGAAGACGAATCCTCCTCAAATAGCTAAGGATGAAAGCCGTTTGGAATTCACAAAAACCTCGTAATAGGAAGTAGATAGAGGGTCAAACTAGAACCAACCAGAGGCATTAACAAAGGCAAGAATCTGGCTAATGCTGATACTGGAGATATCGCTAAGTGAGTTGAAGAAAGGGGCCCCTAGAAACTTAAACCTAGTTCTGGCCAGACCTGGACGAAAACACATCAGGTGTTCTGGTGTCATTTCTTCAAGTATTGGTAGACACGCACTACATGAGGTACCACAGGGAAGGCCAAGTCTAGCTCCATGCCGTGCTATGAACCAGTGACCTGTAAAGACAGATATTAGCTTAGAAACCTCAGATTTATTTCTACAGATTAAGTCAGAGGTTCTATAGTTGGAATAGATGGGCCAAGTAGCCCTTGACCTGGCTGCTGAGACAGTAAGGGTCCACTCACTATTTGCCTGTCGCAAAAAATGGTCACAAATCAGCCTATGCCCGTAGCTGACAGGGGCAGGGATCGAAATAGGGGTATCCGTAGAAGAGCCGCCTAGCCTAGCAAGCTCGCCAGCGCGATCATTTCCCACAATATTAGAAATGAAAGTCTTCTAAGAAAAATTAAATATTGTAACAACAGGAAAGTAAGATGATAAATACTTACCTTGCTTGTAAAGACTTGCTTCAACGATGTTCACCTGATAGCATTTACAAATGTTCCAACTGACAGCGTCTGATCTAATCACTTGCTTATATGTCAAGATATGATATGTCGAGATGTGAAGATGAGATCGACATTTAAGTTTATTTCATTTAACACAACAAAATGACCCAATACACTCACAACATTGTTTTGCCGTTATATTTCCTTTGTTTAGCTGATAATTGAATTCTATTGAATTTTAAATGTTAATTGGATTGTTTTTCCATTTAATTTGCGCTATATATCTGACGTAGTTATCTTTTTGGCGTGATTTAAGTCTTTTGTTAATAATAATATCCTAAGGTTTAAATACAATTAAAAATTTTCATTTTCGATCTATCAAAATATAATCAATCTATTTGTTAAAATAAACAATCAGGACTCTTTCAAGTATAACTCAAAACCATTCCCTCTCCTCTAGTAATATTCTGTACATATTTCATTAAAAAAGTTCTAAAATACTATTCTAAAATACTATATCAAAATGCTATTTATAACTTTTGTGTATGTAGATACAAACGTTGTTTTATTTTAGGGATTCTTCATCATCATCATTTGGTTCTATATTCCATGGTGAGATTTAAGCAAAGCAATTAGCTTTCATAATAGTCTTTCACTCTAAAGAGACTCTATGTTTCCTTACACCATCTCAGTAGTTGTTCCTTTCTTTTTTTGTACTTCATGATTGCGGATTTATAATTTTCCAGCGATATCGCTATATGTTGGATTCACCTCAATCTTTCGGAATTAACAAATTGATATCGTTTCTCCATTGAGTTATGCCATTATCTTTTTATCTTTTTTTGAATGAAAACGGTATCCTCACGCATGTTATCATTGTTTTATTAAATCTCATTAATAAGTGATGTCTTGAACTTTTGATATCATTTTATCTGATATTTTAACTCCAACATAGTCCATAGTGTGCTTCAGAATTCCACTTAAAGAGTTTTGCTTCCTATCTCTTCCTAACCGTATTGTTTGGATATTATTCAAAAATGCTTATAAGTACGATGGACTGCACTCATTGATATGAGTACTGCTATAATAAGAAATTTTGTTGGTGTTCCTTCAATATCTTGCATAGTCTTGCATATTGTGTAATGCTATATAAAGACCATTCTCCTTAACTCGAAATATATGTTGTGATATGTGCCATTTTCTTTACCAAATCCATATGAACATAAGCTAAAGAGGTTGGATAAGTCTAAGTGTAAACATTATCATTTTGAAGCTATTTGAGCCAGTGAACTTGAGCACTTTTACTCTTTCTTAACTAGAGGTATTTTCAAAACCCGTCTTCACGCCTTGACTAGATTATTGTTTATCACTTCAACAGACTAAGCAATAATTGGCCTCAGATCTGCATACCTCCCCGTAAGAGATAGAGCCTGTAACCATTGTGAGATTCGATAACGCGGTGTTGTTAAGTCTGCAATTTGTTTAAATTTTAGTCAATTTCGTCCATTGTAATAAAATGTGAACATAAGGACATACAATGTATAGTAAGGACTGCAACCCTCCGAATAAGGTTAAATATAATAATAAATGCCTCAAACCGCATGTTGAGGTGGTTTCGCACAATGGGCGGAGCAAAATTAGCTGTTCTCTTTGATTTGTTCTCTTGCTTCTGTGAATGTCCTCTCCGACGCTCGTTCTCAGTTGCTTCACAAGTTGAGTGCGGTAGTATGTTTCGAACATGAAATATGGAGTGTGCGATGTGCGATGTGCGACGTGCGACGTGCGATGTCCTTGCTTCTGGTTATGCAAGTGTTTGCGAACAGGTTGTTTTTGTCGATTCATGTTGTTGCTGGTATTGCATTTGTTTTGTTGTTTTTTTTTTATTTGTTTTTCGTAGTCTATTTTATTTCTGGTCTTGTCTTCTTTGTTTTGGTTTGTTAGATTGTGTGCATGTGTTCCATTGTTTGATTTTTGTTGAATGCTGCGCGTAGAATTATCATATTGTGCGCTGGTCATATCCTGTCACATTGTCCAATACACATATTCGGCACAATAGGATACAATATGATTTTCTTCCCAACCAACCAAGTGGGAGTTTGGCGGTTACGGGGTTTACTCTTACTGGAGCGCACTGGAGGTATGAAGCGCAATGTACAGTATGGAGTACATAAAAAGGATAACATCCTGTTTGTGTTGAATGGCAAAAGATTTTGTACAATGTCCGTCGTGCTTGTGTATGGGTTTTAGGGTTTTGGTCGGGTCGGGTCGGCACTTGCTGCCCAGGCAGCGGATGTGTTACAATTCAGAAATTTATGCAACATTTTTTGCTAACTGTTGGGCGCTGGGCGCTGGGCGCTGGGCACTGGGAGCTGGAAGCTGTTGCTATTGTTGTTATTGTTGCATTGCTGCGCAGGATATGCTTTCTGTTTTCATGTTGTGCGAAATATGTGCGAATTTTATTATGTGAACGTTATGCTTATGTGTCCAACGCGCGTCCGACCATTTGTTATCCTTATGTGCCATCTCCCGCATGTGTGATTTGTGTGTGTGTGTGTGTGTGTGTTGAGTACACGCTCCAGCTTACAGGATACTACTTGCACATTTTATTTAAATTATTTCTCCATTGTTTTTGTGTAATGTTCCATTTGTGTTTTTTTTGTTTGTTTTTTGTTTATTTTTTTGCCGTCCGTTTTTTGTGTCTTTGCTTAATTTTTACATATTTTCAGGTGCTAATTGCTCACATGCCACATATGAGTTGCATATAAATTAAAATTAAAATTAAAATATTTATTTTGATTGCGATAGTTTGCGCCTGGTTTGTGTTGGTGCAATATTTCGCATTAACTCTGATTTTAATTTTAATTATTATTCCGTAATTTTTTCCTCGTTCATTGTTAGTTATTGTGTGTGTTGTTGTTGTTGTTGGCGCTGCCGCTGCTGCTGCTGCTGCTGCTCATTTTAATATTTAACACATGATTGCCTTCGACATTTGCATTTAATTAAAAATATTGTTTAGTTTATTTAAATTTACGAGACTAAAATGGCCATTTCATATATTATTATTTTTGCTACTCGAACAATGTGTTTTATTGAACTTTGCTGCATTTAAGCAGTGCGAAAATATGTTGCTGACAATTAAAAAAAATTTATACAATTAGAAAAAAATATTTAAAAATATGCACATTTTTTT